CTATCTAACATAGGGCTTCAATAGGATCCTCAGAAAATCCCTGTGGCTTCCTTGGATATGGTTGGAGGTAGCGGACTGATATTTCCAACTGCCTCAAAGTTCGTGAGTACAGTATGTTGACCGAACTTCCATTGTCCACTAGGGTGCAGTGGACTTTTACTCCGACGACCATCATTGTGACCACCAGGGCGTCACTCTGGTCTTAGAAGATTCTTTCATAATCTTTTTCCGTGAACCAGAATGATTCAGGGTCAATGCCGGTCCTAGGGATTTGATTCCAGTAGTTTGGTACGATTTTTGCACTTCGGCCTTGCTTTCGCCTGGCCCTTCTGGATCCTTCAATATACTGATTTCCACCCACCATCATTTTGATTTCGGCATGTGGAGGTGGGTTACTATTAGGGATCGCCCGTTGGGCTCGTGTGGGGGCCCCCTGTAGCTGTGGTTGCTGCATCGTAGGTCAATCTACTTCTTTTGGCTTGGCAACAAACTCCTGTAACTGACCACGTCAAATTAAGGATTCAACTTCCTCTTTTAAGTCCCGGTAGTTGTCAGTATTGTTACATGTTGTCATACTTAGTCAACCTACGTGGGCCTATGGCCCACTCAATCTGAATGACGTGGCGCTCCAGCCGAGGTAGTTTGTATATCCGAGGCTCATATGCCGAGGCCTGTGAAGATAGCCGAAACCCTAAAGCGGAAGTACTACGTGAGTGGCAGAAGCCCCCAATCCGAAGCTGAAGCAGAAGCCCCCGAACCATGAAGGAACATCTTCCATGATCACTTCTCCCAAGAGATCCTAATCTCCCCCAGGCTCTTCCATGTCATATTTGAAGGCACCCTAAATGCCCCCCACTCCTCGCTATAGTCTACTGGTTCCTCAGTCATAGCATACCTATCCACCTCGGATTCCCCCCTGTGACTGACCCCATGGCCCAATGACGCTACAGTAACCAACTCCCTACTCGAAGTGGACTCCATCTCATAAATGTCTAAGAACGCAATAAAAGGAGGATTTTCTATGAAAAGTACCTACTGAAAAACTACGCAAATAGAAAGTGTCGGAAAAGCAGTGAACAGACAGCTTCAACGCCGGAAAGTTTAAGCTCTAAGAGAGGAATTAAAAGGCAAGTACTAAAAAATCCAGAAAAATGGAGTTCTCTCACCTTTTATAAAGGGTCAGGTCGAACCCCCACCGTCAGATCGAAGCTCATTCAGTCTGGACCCTTCATTTTAAATCAAATCCTAGACATAGAATTCAAACAATTTTTCAAACCTACGCCTCAGATTTTAGCGTGTTTCCCACGCACCTCAGCCAACGCATCTGCTTCTAGAAGCTCTAGCTGTTCTAATAATTACGATTTTAATTCGGCGGCAACAGGCGCCTTGGAAGTTGCAACGGTTCAGCTACCTTTCCTCAAAAACATGCGCAAAATATCAAATCATTGGCACAACTACCAAGGAACAATTATTATCAATGAATCTCGGCTTCATCTTTAACATTAGACCATCAAGCCTCGCAGATTCGATTTCCTAACCACCTCAGCTTTATCTTCAACATCCAGCCATCAAGCCTCGCAGGTTCGGTTTCCCAACCACCTCGATTTCATCTTCAACATTTAGTCATCAAGCCTCACAGGTTCATGCCACATTTCTAACTCCAACCATGATATAAATATCTATACTTGGACTTGGGGGACTATTATTTATGGTTCAAAAATTCTTTCAATTTTTACCCAACCCACTGGCTTTACTTTATTGAAATCCACGCATTACATAAATAACTATACTTGGACTTGGGGTCTATTGTTACATGTTGTCATACTTAGTCAACCTACGTGGGCCTATGGCCCACTCAATCTGAATGACGTGGCGCTCCAGCCGAGGTAGTTTGTATATCCGAGGCTCATATGCCGAGGCCTGTGAAGATAGCCGAAACCCTAAAGCGGAAGTACTACGTGAGTGGCAGAAGCCCCCAATCCGAAGCTGAAGCAGAAGCCCCCGAACCATGAAGGAACATCTTCCATGATCACTTCTCCCAAGAGATCTTCTACGTAAAGATCTTGTTAGAATAATTGATGGAACGTTTGTCATAAGTATACATGTCAAGTCTTGTCATTAGCATGGGGGTTCTGCATAAGCAATAAATGCGCAGCAAGCTAGCAAGTCAAGGATGATGCCTAGGATTGGATGTTTGAATTAAAGAGATGAGGCCACGTGCCACCTCATCTAAGGGCTGCCATTTCACTTGTAACACTATAAATACTTCCCTTGTATAACGTTTAAGGACTAATGCAAGAATCAATACAAGAAACCACACTTTACTCTCTCTTTCATATTATCTTACAACACAATACGAGTTCATACATATTTACATTCACATTCATAAGCACCGATTGGTAATTATTGTACAATCGGATTACAAACATCCCGTCGGATTTTGAACGTTCTCATCCCGTGTCATTGAGCTACTCCCACATCCCTGATTCTTTCGTTCTAGACCATCCACGTGTCTTAGCGTGTAGGACCTTCGCTGTGCGTGGGTGGGTCCGGCATCTATTGGCAACACTTTTTGGGTCAATAGATTGACGCCGTCTATGGGAAACCATACCATAACCACGAACAACCTTGTTGTGAAAGCTTATTGAAGAGCATTTGGGCATCCCCCTTGAAAAATGATTTGTTCTTGAAAATGAACAAGAGGAAGCCCCACTACTTAGCAAAATCTGAAGAGTCAGACAAAAAGAAAATGAGTTCAAACGAAGACACACCCCCCAGAAGGGTAAGAAAAAATGCAACTGTGCCTTTTCCACCCGTTGCCCCAGCAGCTCAGCAAAAACCCCACCACCACCAAAGAAGAGGTGGAATGAGAGCGACGGCACGGCTGTCAAGAGAAATGGCTGCCATGGCGGCCAACATGAGGGATATTGCTAGCCAAAACTTAGCTATGATGGAGCTCATGGCCCAAATGCACGGCCAAGGAGGCTTCCTCATTCCTCCATACGCCCCTCAAGGGCACTACCAGCAAGAAGAGAAATTCAAAGTCATAGAGCTGCCTCGCCGGACTATAGCCAAGGTGGAAGCCCATTTGAAAGGGAAGTTGAAGTTGATGTTTCCTCCAACTACGCTTCTGGCCGACCCGTCGAGGTCCCATTGAACCATGATAACTTCCCACCTCCGTATGAGCAAGAGTCAAGACATAGGAGGGCAGGCAGTGTATTTGACAGAATCAGCCCCGCTGAACCAAGGTCTAGGCAACAGCAGACTCACCAGCCTTGGACAAGGCCACCTCCTCCACCTCTAATGCCCCAGCAACCAGAAGAAAGGCATAAAATTGCCCCCCGTGTTGCACCACCTAGAAATAGGTGTCAGAGGAGGGAGGAAGAGGCTAGGAACCGTCCCGGAACCTCTCACCAACAACCACGACAAGAGGCCGAGGAATATGATTCAGATGAACAGCAAAGGTCCTGTGACTTGGACGGCGACGATAAGAATTTGCCATTCTCGAGGGAACTAAGGAGTGCCCAGGTTCCAAACCACTATGTAATGACAAAGATACCTAAGTATGATGGGATAGGCGACCCAGAGAAGCACCTGAATGCTTATAAAACTCATATGAGCCTAAGGGGCGCCACCCTAGCTGTGAAGTGTAGAGCTTTCCATTTGACACTGGGTGGAGCGGCTGAAATTTGGTATAGCAGGTTACCACCTGAGAGCATAAGAAGCTGGCTCGAGTTTAAGACAACATTCTTGAAGAGATTCGTGGTAAGCAAAGAGGGAGAGACCCCCATCCAACGTCTCTAAGACATGAGACAAGCACATGGGGAGTCCTTAAAGAGCTTCCTATCACGCTTCACCGATGAGATGACGTATTGTGTGCAAGTCACCGACCGTGAGGCACTATCCGCATTAAGAGGAGGTTTGAACATAAATACATTATTCTGGAGGGACGTGCAAAATCAAGATCCCACCACCTATGATGCCCTACTTGAGATGATGAGGCGGGAAATCATCAATGAAGAATTGATTGAGCATTGGAACAGGGCAAGTAGAGGCCTCCCACCTCCTCAAAGGCAGCATGCTAGAGGTCCGACCTCCCACCTGATGGACTACCAAATGAACCAGGCTGGAAATGAGAGTTCTGGCCAAGCACTTGCCACCACCACTTTAAATATGGTTCCTACCTTGGCGTATGAGGATATCAACCCAGTTACTGACACCCAGCAGACGAAAACCCCACAAGGATCCTGTAGGGGAAGAGGCCGAGGCCGGGGTTCGGGACCTAGAAATAGGTCAAATCAGAACCCACTGGGATACATTGTATACCACCAGTCCTATGGACACGACACAGCGGATTGCCGAGACTATGTGCACCGCTCCCGACTAGAACCCCGTAGGGACAGAAATGAATCGCCCCAGGCGAATAGGCCCCCGCCTAGGCACGACAACCGACATGGGCGTGAGGAGGCTGCTCCACGTCAAAGGGATGTTTCCCCACGATGGAGGGAGCGTGAAATGGAGAGGCCTAAGGAAGGACGCAGGCACCAAAAAAATCGACAAGCCCAGGATGAGGCACCTATCCACGAGATAGACACCTTAGTTGGAGGCCCATATGTCGACGGTGAAACACGAAATGCCAAAAGAAATTACGCCCGAGAAGCTAAATACCCCCCTTTGGCTAGCTACATTGTGGACGGCAGCTCCCAGAGGAACCAAGTTCCATCCATTATCTTCATCTAGGAAGATGCCGAAGGAGTTCACTATCCCCATTGCGATGCACTTGTTGTGAGAGCCGTCATAGCCCGAAATGGGCTCAAGCGAATGTTAGTTGACAACGTAGCTCTGTTAACATTCTATTCGGATTCTCCTTTGACAAGATGATATTGGATCATCAGTTGACACCCACTACAACTCCTCTGTACGGAGTCACTGGAGATAGAATCACTCCAAGGGGAAAGATAACACTTGCAGTAGAGATGGGAGAGTCTCCCTAAACTACGATGAACTTCATGGAGTTCCTTATTGTCGACAGTCGATCGGCTTACCATGGAATATTAGGTAGGCCAGTCGTAAAGGAATTAGGAGCAGTCACCTCCATCCACCACCTATGCATGAAATTTTCGATGAAAAATGGGGTAGCAACAGTGAGAGGTGACCAAAGAGGGTCGAGAGAGTGTTATCTAAGCTCCATAAAAAAGGTAGAGCCCCGGGACGTCCATGTAATCATAGTCGATATAGTCATGGCTGACGTCCCAGGTGATGCTCCCACTGAACCAGAAGATATCCATATGATAGATGCACCACCCAATCTGAAGGTCTTGGTCATTGATGAGATCGATCCCCGTATAATTGAACACGAACCTCAAGCATCCCCAGTTGAGGAACGTAAGAACTTCATGGTAGACCCCCGAGACCCATCCAAGATGCTGAGAGTAGGCAAGGGCTTATCCAACATTCTGAAGGAAAAGATTAAAGATTTCCTAAGTAAAAACCTTGATGTCTTTGCTTGGAAGCATGAGAACATGGTAGGCATAGACCCCAAGGTCAGTTGCCACCACCTGAAGGTCGATCCGAAAGTTGCCCCACACAGACAAAAAAGGAGAGCCCTCAATCTTGAAAGGTACGAGGCTCTGAAGGAAGAGGTCCAGAAGCTCATCCAAAATGGCTTTATCAGGGAGGCTACCTATCCGAGGTGGGTCTCCAACCCGACTTTAGTAAAGAAACACAATGGCAAGTGGAGGGTGTGCATCGACATTACCAACCTCAATAGAGCTTGCCGGAAAGACAGCTTTCCTCTCCCAAGGATTGATCAACTAGTAGACTCCACGGCTGGGCACGAGTTGTTGAGCTTTATGGACGCATACTCCGGCTACAACCAAAAACCCATGCTCCGGACCGATGAGGAGCACACCTCTTTCATTACAGACCGAGGCCTTTATTCTTATAGGATGATGCCCTTTGGGTTGAAAAATGCCGGAGCGACCTACCAAAGGCTTGTTAACAAAATGTTTATGGATCTCATCGGCAAGACAATGGAGGTATATGTGAACAACATGTTGGTGAAAAGTTTGGAGGCTAAGGATCACATAACGCACCTCAACAGCACCTTCCAGATCTTGAGAAGATATAGAATGAGGCTCAACCCCTTCAAGTGCGCCTTTGGAGTGGCCTCCGGCAAATTCTTAGGATATATGGTCAATCAACGTGGAATTGAAGCCAACCCTAAGAAGATTGAGGCCCTGCACAAGATGAGGTCCCCCCAAAAGCCAAAGGAGGTGCAAAGTTTGATCGGGCAAGTGGCCGCACTTAGTCACTTCGTCTCCAAAGCCACAGACAAATGCCTCCCATTTTTTAAGGTGCTAAAAGTTGGAAAGAAGTTCCAATGGAACGAGGAATGTGAAGAGGCCTTCCAAGGCCTGAAAAGGCACCTGGGGCAGGCCCCCCTCCTCTCCAAACCGAAGCCCGGAGAGATCCTACAACAATATCTAGCCGTCTCAAATGGGGCCATTAGTTCGGTTCTGACTCGAAAAGAGGGAACCACCCAACTTGCAGTCTACTATACAAGTAAAGTACTCCTATCATTGGAAACCCGTTACCCTGATATGGAGAAGTTCGCTTTGGCCTTGATCACAGCCTCTAGGAAATTAAGACCCTCCTTCCAAGCTTACACCATCCATGTGCTGATAAACTTTCCCCTAAGGCAAGTGCTCCAAAAGCCTGATGCCTTAGGAAGATTATTGAAGTGGGCAGTGGAGCTAAGTGAATTTGACCTCGTGTTCAAGGCTAGGGCAGCCATCAAAGGTCAGGCCTTGGCTGACTTTGTGGTAGAATTCACCAACTTACCCGAGGTAGATGAAATCATGGAACTCATCGAGCCCCCTACATGGAACTTATTCATTGACGGGTCGGCTGGGGACGCCAGTTCAGGTGCTGGAGTTATCCTCATCAGCCCTAAAGGGCACAAGCTAAACTCGGTGGTGAGGTTTGGGTTCAAGGCCACCAACAATGTAGCAGAATACGAGGCACTACTTGCAGGCCTCAGGCTAGCCAAGGAAATGCAAGTGAAGAGGCTCCTCATCAGCAGTGATTCCCAGCTGGTTGTTAGCCAAGTAAATGATAACTTCTCAGCCAAGGACAAAACGATGGCCTCCTACTTGAAAATGGTGATGAACCTCATCCCATCCTTTGAAAAGTTTGAACTAACCTAGATCCCTCGCATGGAAAATTATCATGCGGATACACTCTCCAAGCTCACTAGTAGTAAGGATTCAGAACTACTCACAATAGTACCTATAAAGCACTTCCTCCTGCCATCCACCGAGGCCCCCAATGTAATGTGGGTCGCTGGAACTCCTACCTGGATGTAGCCAATCGTAGCATATCTCAAAGACCAGGTACTTTCCACTGACAAGCAGGAGCCTACAAGCTAAGGAGAAAATCAGCCCACTTCCTCTTCATTGATGATGTTCTATATAAGAGAAGCTTCTCTTCCCCACCCTTACGATGTGTTGGGGAAAAAGAGGCTACTTATATATTAAGAAAAGTCTGTGAGGGAGTGTGCGACAATCACTCCGGAGGTCTATCTTTGGTACAAAAGATATCGAGGCAAGGGTACTACTGGCCTACCCTGAAAAGGGACACCCTCGAGTTTGCACGAAAGTGTGACAAATGTCAACGATTCTCTTCAGTACAAAGGCAACCGTCGTAGGATTTGACCGCGGTCTCCAGCCCTTGGCCTTTCTCGAAATGGGGTGTGGACCTCATAGGCCCTCTACCTAAAGGTAGAGGAGGTGCAAGTTTTGCAATTGTAGCCATTAATTATTTTACGAAATGGGTTGAGGCTGAGCCACTAACAAAAATCACGGAAGCCGACACTTCCAAGTTTTTGTGGAAGAATATTATTTGCCGGTTTGGGATTTCCTATTCAGTTGTCTCAGACAATGGTAGACAATTTGACAACAAAAAGGTTAGAACACTATGCGAAGAACTCGGTATCAAGAAGCATTTCTCCACACCTCACCACCCACAAGCAAATGGCCAAGTGAAGGCTGTCAACAAAACAATCAAACACATCCTGAAAAGGAAGCTCGATGTGTCAAAAGGGGCCTGGGTGGACGAGCTACCACAAGTTCTTTGGGCAATCCGAACCACCACGAAGACGCCAACCGGGGAAACACATGTCCTCATGGCATATGGTACTGAGGCAATGAGCCCCGTTGAGGTTGGACTTCCGTTTCCAAGACATCTGCATTTCAATGAAATCCTATGATTAAATTAACGTATCGCATTATTTCCTCACCTTGGAGGAGAGGCCGGGGTCCCATCTCTGGGCCACCTCGTTTGAACTCCGAGGCGCCTGTACATGCCTCCCTTTGGCAAGGCTGAACGCCAAGGAGAGAAGCCTCAGCATGGCTGCACCATCCACCATGTTGGGAAGCGTCGTAACCTCGGAGGAGAGACCGAGGTCCCATCTCTAGGCCACCTCGTTTGAACTTCGAGCTGCATGCACATGCCTCCCTTTGGTGAGGCTGAACGCCAAGGGGAGAAGCCTCAACATGGCTGCACCATCCACCATGTTGGGAAGCGTCGTAACCTCGGAGGAGAGACCGAGGTCCCATCTCTAGGCCACCTCGTTTGAACTTCGAGCTGCATGCACATGCCTCCCTTTGGTGAGGCTGAACGCCAAGGGGAGAAGCCTCAACATGGCTGCACCATCCACCATGTTGGGAAGCATCGTCACCTCGGAGGAGAGGCCGGGGTCCCATCTTTAGGCCACCTCGTTTGAACTCCGAGGCACATGCACATGCCTCTCTTTGGCGAGGCTGAAAGCCCAAGGAAGAAGCCTCAACATGGCTGCACCATCCACTATGTTGGGAAGCGTCGTCACCTCGGAGGAGAGGCGGGGTCCCATCTCTGGGCCATCTCGTTTGAACTCCGAGGCACATGTACTTATATCAAAGTAAAACTCCCAGTTCAGCTGCAACACGATCCATTCTTAGGATCCCTTTAGGTTACAATTATTAAGCTCAAGTACAATTCATTTGCTTAAGTCCCATATTGATCATAACTCGTGAGACTTGCATACAATTTATTCGTTCAAGTAATTGGAGTTAGGATACCCAGTTAAAGTTATTTGGTTTTACAATCAACATTATGTTCAATTATTTAACGACGCCAACACACTTGAAAGAAAGAAACAGCATTGAACAAAAAGGAGATATTATATTGATTTTCAATTGAGATTACAAAAGGAAGGCCTGAGGCCAGTACATCATGCATAACTGAAAAGAAAACTATCCTAAGCATGGAAAGACGGTGAAGGTGCCTCAGCAGCTGGAACTTCGGAAGCTTGAGCATCAGAATGTGCTTCTTCTGCCTTTCCTACTTCATCTCCCACCACTTCATCAGCTAGGGTTTGAGGCACTTCATCCACAAACTCTGACTTGAGTTACGACAGGTCCTAATTTGGGTACAATTCGTCAGCCCGCTCCATCACCTCAGTATAAGCAAAGTTCATCCAGTGAGTGCTGAAGCTCTTGTACTCCTCGGTATTGTGGAAGTTGGCAATGTAGTCTCTCACTGCCTCCTCCCTTGCACTTTGAGCTTCTTCCCTAGCATGGGTTGCATCATCGACGTACCACTTAATTTGGCCTTCGATGAACTTGTATGCATCCTGGGCCCCTGTCAGCTCCAGGTTAGCCTTCTCCAAGGCTTCGACTGTCACTTTCTAGTGGTCATTGGAAACCTCCACCTTCTTAGTCAAGGAGGCAACCTCGCACTGGGACTCACGTACCTCCCTCTTCAATACCTCTATCTGAGCCAAGGCAGACTCCAGCTTGGCCGATTCTTCAAGTTTTTGGGCCCTAGCTTCTTCAGCTTCGACCCTAGCTACCTTCAACTCCTCTAAAAGGGAGGCAGCCTTCTTCTCAGAGGATTGGGTCCTCATCTGAAAATCAGTAAGAGCCTCCCTGCACTCCAGTGCGAGGCCAAAGGTCCGAACGCTTTGGCTCACAAAAGCCCTCATCAAGTCAGTGGCATCACAGGTGGAGGCATGCAGTTTCCACCGATTCGTCCAGAATTTATAGAAATTTTCAGCAGCTCTTCAAATTTCAGGTGGTAGGGCCTCCACCAAAGCTAGGGCCAGAGGGTCCTTCTGGCCGACAAGGAAGCTCGGAGACTTGCCTTGTACTCGAACAGGTTTCTCCTTGGCAGCCTCCTCCTCAGCTACCTTAGCTTGCCTCCTTGTAGCCTTCTCCCTCACCTCGTCAGCCTCTGCACGCCTGACCATTTCAATCTTAACCGCTTTCGAAGCAGCTTCCAGTAGCTTCGGCAGTCCGGCTTCTTTGCCTTGGGACACGAAACTCCCAAATTTGCCAGACGAGTTGGAGATGTGCACCAGCTTCCTTTTCTTCGGCTCCTCAGAGACTTTCTCCTTCCCTCGAGGCTCCTTGGCCTTTTCCTGCCTCTGGGGGGTCTCCTCTTCGAAAGCCCATGAGGTGCTATCCTTGGAGAGACGTTCGACTCTACCTCGGACCTCTTTCGCACCATTTAACCCCGGCTTCAGGGGCCTCACCTTCACAGTGGAAGTTGCCCTCAGTATGGACGCCGTGTCAGGAGCTGGGTACTCCTTCCTCTTAAACTTATCTGTAGAATGCAGCGCGTCAGTACCAAAATAAAAACACAAAAATATACAAGTATGGGAGCTTCATACCCTTGGAGACCATCAGTTCGAAGTCCAGGAAATAGCGACTTCTGTCGATGAGGTGATCGAAGTGGCGAAGCTTCAGAGGTCTCTTGTAAATATCCTCTATCACTTCAAACTCCTCTCTGCTCAGCTCGAACCTTGTACTGTAATCTGCAAACGAGGCATCAATAGTTAGACAAAAAATTAAAGCTACAAACGGAATGCAAACTACTAGGATGGGAGACTCACGAGCTTTGTAGTACTGGGTTGGCACTGCACAAGACAGGGCTTTATCTCCCTCCACCGCCTGCCAGCTGCCCCTCACCTAGAACCACGACTCCTTCCACCCCTTTATGGAAGAAGGCAGCCCCACCACAAAAGGTGCATGGGCCCTCCAGGGAGTCAAGTAATACCACCCCTTCGACTCCTTAACTATTATCCTAGGCTGAAATAGGATCATGAAAACATGGAGAGGCATGTCCTCCCTAAGCGACACTTCCTTCCACAGGAAGTACGAGCCGACCAACTGGCTCCACCCATTTGGCAGAACCTGGGTCGGCGACAACATGAAATTCCTCAGTACAACCCTAAAGAAGGGGTGCAGAGGTAGACACATACCTGCCCTAAATAAATATTCGCTCACAGCCACGAACCCCGGCCTCGGATAACAGGCTCGCTCATGGGCCTCGGGCACTAACATCTCCACATAATGAGGTACACAGTACCTCTCCCTTATCTCTCCCAACCTCTTCGACGTCATATTCGAATGGACTCTAGACATCCCCCACTCTACATTGTAATCTACTTCCTCCTCGGTTATAGCAATATGCTCAACCTCAAAGTCCCCCCAATAACTAGACCCCCGACCAAACGACGCGACAGCAACCGACTCCCTACCCGAAGTCGACTCCATCTCAGAAAGCAAGTACTTATATAATAAGAGGATTTTCTGTGAAAAATACCTACTAAAAAACTACGCGAACTGAGTTTGCCAAAAAACCAGCAAATGGAATTGCCTCAACCCCGGAATGTCTAAGCTCTAAGAGGAGAGATTAGATTGCAAATGCTGGAAAATTCTGAAAAAGGGAGTTTTCTCGTCTTTTATAAAGGGCCAGGATGAACCCCCACCAACAGATCGAAGCTCATTCAATCTGAACCCATTATTTTAAATCAAATCCGAGGCGTATAATTCAAACAGTTATTCAAACCTACGCCACAGATTTAAGCCTGTCTCCCACGCACCTCAGCCAACGCGTCTGCTTCTAGAAGCTCCAGCTGTTCTAATAATTACGATTTTAATTCGGCGGCAGTAGGCGCTTTGGAAGTTGCAACGGTTCAACCACCTTTCCTCGAAAACATGCGCAAAACATCAAATCATTGGCACAACTAACAAGGAACAATTATTATCAATGAACCTCGGCTTCATCTTCAACGTTCAGCCATCCAGCGTCGCAGGTTCAGTTTCCCAACCACCTCGGCGGCTTCATCTTCAACATTCAGCCATCAAGCCTCGTAGGTTCGGTTTCCCAACCACCTCAACTTCATCTTCAACGTTCAGCCATCAAGCCTCACAGGTTTAGGGTTTCCAACCACCTCGGCTTCATCTTCAACATTCAGCCATCAAGCTTCGCAGGTTCGGTTTCCTAACCACCTCGGCTTCATCTTCAACATTCAGCATCAAACCTCGCAAGTTCGATTTTCCAACCACCTCGGCTCATCTCCATGTACCAGATCTCTCGAGCCTCGCACATTCAGTTCATACCACCACCTCAGCTACTACATCATTCACCCGCAACAACATATTTCAAACTCAACCCATGATATAAATATCTATACTTGGACTTGGGGGACTATTATTTATGGTTCAAAAATTCTTTCAATTTTTACCCAACCCACTGGCTTTACTTCATTGAAGTCCACGCATTACATAAATGACTATACTTAGACTTGGGGAACTATTGTTACGTGTTGTCATACTTGGCCAACCTACGTGGGCCCATGGCCCACTCAATCTGAACCACGTG